AGTGTTGTGGGTTCTTTGGTGTTCGTTCCAAATACGTCAACAATTTCTCTGAAACATTTCTTCTGCACTTCTGGATTCTTTGCGATATTGTACAAACAGAATGTTATTCCTGATGTGGTTGTGTCATGACCCTGAATAATTGAAGTTAATTAGTAATCTTTCAGCAAATAAAAGTCCTATGTAATAATCTAATGAAATTTACCTCAAACATGAACGTATCAACTTCTTCACGGATCTTTTGATTCGAATGGAATGTAAATAATGTCAAGAATTAACTAAAAAATATTTATAAAAGTAAAATTTTGCTAAAAAAAAACCAACAAACCTCAAGATCGGTAAGCGGTTTGCCTTCAATGGTTGCATTCAATAGTAGATCCAAAAAAGCGCGTTTCTTTCGAATGCCGATGGCTTCATTCTCCTCTTCCTCCTGGCTGCTGCTACTACTGTTTGCATTGTTGTTGATTTTTTTCGTTAACAATTCCTGTCGTCGTTTTCGTATTACATCATCAGTAAATCCATGCAGGATACGCAATGCGGCTGCCTGTTGTTTGGCCAAGCTTGAATGTTGATAGAATAACGGATATCGAAGTATAAAATCAAGCATGCGAGTGTGCAGCACATGAGCAATTCTAATTGAAACACAACCGAAATGAAGTCATTAAAATTTCATTAAACTTCGTACAATTATTGAGAAAGACCGAGAGGATATAAAATGTTCGACCGTCTCCATTTGAACTCACTCTTTGACTGCCTTAACATATTCCGAATTCGGTTGTGAAAGAGCGTCGATGCTAACACCCATTGCCGTTTCTGTAATTATAATTAAATCATATTTTAGGTATATATGACAAGAACGCTACATACGTTGTGAGGGGATAATAAATTTCATATATTCTTGAATGGAAACAAAACCGTATAGAGTTTTAGCTTCGAAACACAAATTGCCAATCAGACATAAGCAAACAAAGTCGCCGTATGTAAATAATAGTACACACGTTACAAACAGCGATTGCTGTTGAAAATGAAATGATTTTATTGTGTAAATCGAAATGACAACATTGTATTTCATGTAGTTTAATAGTTGTAATCGTCAAATGAGAGAGTAGTAATTGTTTTTGTTGGCACCACAAATGACAAATGAACATGATGAATATCAATTAAAACTTCAACGATGAATATACATAGAATTTACTTTTCATTAAGCATTTTTATCACGTAAACACAATTTCTTTTAGTCAACGAGACAAAAACAACAACAAAAAATATTGCATTTGTCGAATGTGGAATAAATTCAATTAAATATGAAATCACCGCGAGGAATTCCATTGCATATTCGATCGCTCACTCTCCTATCGGCAGCAATATCATGTATGAAAATTCACAAAATTGCATTGCCAATACTTGTATAGAACACTGTGTGCATAACATTCGAAGTCAAAGATCAATTCAATTCAACTAAAATGACGTTGAAATCTCCAACCGAGAGAGATAGCATGCTACGTGCTACAGAAAAAAAGTCACTTGTGTTGTAGTGCTCTAGTTTAAAATGTGTGACACGAAAACAGGTTAAAAATGCGATCGAAAAAGGCCGATTGAAATCAATATGAAATAATAATAATAATAATTACTGATTTTGACGCAACGCCTATGAAGATTTTTTTTTGTCATTTACTCACCACACATCACATCTAATGCATACAATACAGCGATAGGATAAAATTCCACATCGTCGGCAACATCGTATGTTTTCAATTTATCCACAACTGTGTTTCCCAAACGATCGAAAACTTCAACGAATTTATCCAAAATGTTGAAATGGAAAGCCGGCGTTATCACTTTTCTGCGATCGTGCCATTTTTTGCCTGCAACGCGCAAACATTAGGTTATTATGGTATTGATAATGATCAATCATTATGTCATTACCTCCGCTAAGTAGTAATCCTTCGTTCAGCCACGGTTTTACAAACTTATACTCAGTCGACTTGTCAATATAGCGAGGACTACTTAATAGAATCTAAAATTAGAATAAGCGAAATGAGATCGTTCAATTACGTATTTAAAAAAAAAGAACTATTATTGCCAATTAGGCAATTGTTTGATATGCACGCAATCGGCGTTCATGTTCCAATATTGATTTTCGAATAATTACAATTTTTCATTGGGATTATTGAAGAAACAACAAAGAATCAGATATTATTCGATAGAATTTTGTATATAATACAATGCATCGCCGGAGAATCTCAAACAAAAATCTAAGTAAAATTTGTTCGGATATCATTATTGATTTTACTAGAATTTTCACCATTGACGTTGATACACGTTAAATTTACATCTGTTTATGCATAAGTGTTAGTTTTTTCAAAGTCAAGTTTAGTATCAATGTATTGTAATAAGCGAACGATAATGACCATGAGTTATAATTTTTTAATAAATGCAACAAATTTAAAACGAGCAAACCGGTTTCTTCTATTCATATCGGTTATGGAGCCGATACAAGTACGTTCGCACAAAAGCCACAATTCAACAATGCAATTCAAGTTACAACTGATACGCTTTAATATGAATTGTAAACAAAATATTTCAGTAACAATATATTGTATATCTATGCGTTTGCGATTAAATATTTTTAGAATAAATTATTTCCGAGACTTGTTGCAATTCTTCCGGCCGAAATCGAAACAAGAACCGCCGACCACAAAAAGTAAAAGTTGAAGATCAAACCGGTTGTGTCTTTTACGCTCGTCTAGTCGTATCAAGGTCACATGTTGATTCCATCAATCAGTAAACACGAGCCAAGTAAATATGCGACTTTTTTTGTCGTCATCATCGCATGCGTAATAAATTATTTACTATTTTACACTTGTCGTTGAACCGTCGAATTTTGTAGACATATGTTTTGGATTTTTACCCATTTATTTTCAATGTTTTTCTCTCTAGATAGAACTTGTTAAATATAAATGACAACAATTAATTCACTCGGCACTATATTGCATCCGCCTGACAAACCTTTACATTTTCCGCTTGAATGAACAATGAACATGCATTTTTTTTTAAATAAACACAATAAAACCGACTATTACATTGACTGTGAGAAAAAGCTAGTGTCACTTGGTTACTGATTCTAACTGTTATCGGTTGTATTTATCTAACTGTTTGTTTACACAACAAAATCATACGGGTTCATGAATGTGCGAATTTTTTATGTATAAAATCATGTTTTTCAGGTAGATACCTAAGTAGATATCGTTTTTTTTTAATTGTGACAAATTGTGGTTTGCGACAGATGTCCCACAGTTTGATATTTAATAATAAGTAATTTAAAAAAAGAAACACGTAAACAGGTTATAATCATATTTTTGTGTAAAAATCGACGAGTCACCGTTTTTTTATACGTAATAACTTACAACGATAGTTGAGATCACATTGAAAGCGATCAAAACAATGATGTGAAGCACTGACCTTGAACAATTCCGTATTGGAATTTCGTATAAATACAATTCAGCATTTGATATATATTTGTTGTGTCTAAAATGGAATGTTTTACCACAAACAAAAAATACCAAAAAAAGTTGGACATGAGAACTGCAGCTTATTTTTTTTCTGCATGTGCTAATACCAAATGTATACTTTTTCGAATATTTTTTGTTACTCAACACTATTGGCACTTCATCGATTTCTCAGAACAAACGTTACAAAAAATGTCACATATAAATATTATTCTTTGGTGATATCATATTTATTGCTTACCTCAACATCTTTTGGGTCAGAGATAATGATATTCAATTCTGGGCCGAGCCATACTCGAAAAAAAACACCGTATTGTTTTATCAAATTTATGATAACGGTGAAGTTCTCTGTTTTAAATACAACAAAAAATCTAATTAGCATGAGTGGTCATTAGCTTTTGTTCTGTTGTTTATTGTGATTAATTCATAGATGATGTTTATGATTAAATTCACTCCAGTATTTGTTTGCAAGTGAGAAATTAAACAATACCACCTACCTGCTGATGAATTATTTAAAAATAGTAGTCCGTTCCCAATTATTGGCCAGCCAGATGGACCATCAATTTTCAATGATACATAAAATGCATGAAATATTTCATAGTGGAATCGTAAAATATATGCAATGATTGTTGCCAGTAATACACCCAAAAACAGAAACATCGTTCACCTTGCATTCAAGATAACAGTTTCTCAATCGATTAGAATTTTGCGTGATAATCGCGACACTTATAAGGTGTGAACCAAGCGCGACGAATGTCAACAATAAACTGAACGCGACTCGCACAATATAAAATGCTTTCGGTTTCAATTCACTTGTTTGACACACAACAAAAAGAAGCATTCTCGATTGCTCGAGTGTGATCGTTATCGTTTGCAAGATTAAGTGGAGAACAAGCTCTCAAAAACACGCTTCGGAACACTCATGTCTCGTTCATCGTTCTATATATACCAAAGCATCGGTCAGACAAGATTCTCTCATTTTTTATTTATCGTGAAATCGTATCGCCCTTTGCACGCTCGCCGCACATACGCATGTTCAATTTGTCTGTGTATTTTTTTTTGTTTCTATGGATTTCAAGTTTTATTAGTATTCAATTAATTTACGAAAATAGTAAAAAAAAAGAATTAAATCAAACACGTATGAGAATTAACCTATTTAAAATAAACAAATTCAATATTGAAATTAATATGCGCAATTTTGCTTCGAGTAAGTGGTTTCGTTCATTACAAACCGCATTTAAAACTACGAATCGAAAATTGAACGCAATGTGACGTCAGTTTTACAACAAGCTACACACATGCGAAGTATTACAAGACTGCATTTAACTTGCGTAGAGAGCAATGAACTCTCCGCGATTCTCTTTAATCGAAAGTGAGATAAAATGCCGAATATTTTGGGTGCGATTTTTTTCTGCGCCTTTTTGTATGATACTGCTGTTAATTAAATTAAGATATATCCATACGCCTAAATTTATATGGCAAATTCACTAATTCGAGATAAATTAAAATCACGCTTATTTTGGTTTTCACCAGACATTTGGTTTTCACCAGACAGTCAATTTTTGTTTTCTTGGTGGTGTCACTTCGCTCAATCAATGTCATTAAATTAATACGCAGAAATGTCGTGAAATGTTTCAGATGATCATCGCTTAAGAATAGTTTATTGTCAATAAACTAAAAAAACATGACAGCCTAAATTTTTGAAAATTATTACTGCTTTCGGAAAAATAAAAACGAAAATAATTACCAAAACTTCAAATAAATTTTCACACATTTTTTTTATTTTCCAAAATACGATTTTTTTTTCTCAATGAATAGAAAATGCAACAGAAGAAATGAATCTTTTCAAAGTAATTTACACAGTGAAAACGTCAAAAGAACACTTACAAATAATAAGAAAATATTTAATAGACCCTTGGTTTGAAATAGAAGCTTATTCGGCTATCCGACCGCAGTACAAGCTCTGAACACAAAACCGGATACGTTTCGCTTTCATTAGTTAACACAATTTCAAAATTGCGCAGAATTTTCGATACAATGCTTTTGATCTCATACATAGCAAACTTTTGTCCAATACAATTGCGCGGTCCGGCTGAAAATGGAATGTAAGTGAATGCATTTTGTTTTTCCATCGATCGTTCGACCAAAAATCTTTCGGGTCTGAATGTTTCTGGATCTTCAAAGTATTTTTCATTGTGACCCATGGAATAAATCGGAACTATTATGTTTGAACCGGCTGGAATTACTCGATTCTCAGCTGAAATACGGTAAGAAATTAACATGTAAATGGATTTTATCAAGAAGGAAAATAACGAACGTACTTAGTTCAATGTCATCTAAAAGTTTTCGACCGATAAACGGAACTGATGGGAATAAACGTAATGTTTCTTTTACTGTCATTTCCAAATACGATAGTTGATTTAATTTCGCTAGTGTTGTGGGTTCTTTGGTGTTCGTTCCAAATACGTCAACAATTTC